TATGGAGAGAGAACTATATCATTGTCTAAGAGACATCTTGCAGCACTAGAGCTATTTCAAATCTGGAATTAAAACAAGACTTTGAAAGAAAAAGCCAGCACTATCAGTTTTCAGGGACAATAGGGACATACTCTAGAGGACTTCAGTGGGAACTCCAAGACAGAAGAGAGATGCTAGAAAGAGCATGTGCTGATTGAAGCTGAGATTAGGAAGTAAGGGTCTGAGAGTCACAGTTCAAATGCTTCTTGGACCTTCCTACTACAGACAGAACTAGGGGCTCATGAGAATGATTAGATTGAATTGTCATTTTTCTGTTCATGCACATCTATGAGCTCCTTTAAGTAAGGGATTGAATTTCACTCTTCTTCATAAATCTCGACCCATGTACCTAGCACAGAGACTGTTATATGGGAGATATCTAATAAATATTGATTCAACTGAACTGATGGGCCTGCCAGGAGAGAAAACTTTTTATTTTTTTCCCTGAAGAGTGTGAGCTTCCCAGTATTCTTGAATAAGGCCTAAAAGAGAAAATCATAAAGACCTACTCATCGAAAAATCAGCCAGCTTTGGTTCCAAAACCTAAAATCAAAGAGAGTGCCACAATTTTCCATTGCCCTGAAGGTATTCCAGTGCTCAGCGGGGCCTAGCAATTTGAACAAGAGGACCACTTCAAGCCTGCAATACTGCAATTTTTGTAGCACTGATGTGTGTAATTTGGGCCACATTTTAACACAGGATAACAAATAAAAGCAATCTTTTATTTGTCTATAGTTGTTTATCCAACACAACAAATAGACTACAGGCTTTTTTATGAAATTACATTTAGCATGCATACTTTACCTAAATTAAATAAGCATTCCTCCACTGCAATATCATCTTCACAGGGCTAAATTCTCCATTAGAAGTCTCAGGCACTCTGCCCAGGGCTTATGGTGCTTCGAGGGCTTCCCAAAAATGATTTAATTTCTTTTAAAAATCAGAAAATAAAATAAACATTTAGGTTAAAGAAGACATTTAAATAAAGAAGAAAATATATTCATCTTTATACTAATGTAGTCATAAGATATAATTTTAACTTGGCAAGGCAGGGAGGGGGATTCATAAAGGAAAACATCATAAAGTCATAACTGGACCTTGTAACCACATATGCCAAGATGTGTCAAATTTGGCATCATAAAGTAGATAATCTTGAAAATCCTGTTTTCAGAAAAAAAAAAAAAAAGACAGTCCACTTGTTATAGATTGATGGATTGTTACATACACAGAGACAAAATTGGGAGTTGGAATTTGCTGGTGGGGGAGGCACAAGGTGGGTGAACTGAGTTGAAAGCAACCAGGATCCTCCATGTTTTATGGCTAGGACCCTCACTTCCCCTCTCACTAGCAGACTGCTCTAGCTAATTAGCAAATCAAAAGAAATAGAAACAATTCTAGACCTCAGCACAATCAAATTAGTGGAGTTATTTGAGGATATCATTTTCACACAGTGCAATCACGGTCTCTTTGTTTTGGTCAAATGAGTGAAAATTATCTTTCAAACCCAACGCCCTTCCCTCTACCCAACTGGCTCTGTGGATAGTGGGATTTGCTATCAGCTCTCATCAGTTTTGCAGATGATCTTTTTCTACTAAGACAGGAATGTACAATGTACAATTAAACAATACCCAGCAAGCTTCCCTTTTAAAAATACATTTGACTTTTAAGATGATTCAGCATTAAGAGCCATTAGTGCATCATCTAAATCAGGACTTGGAAAGTTTATTAAAATTGGATTTTTAACCTGATCCCAATTTCCTTTGCTGATAAAGAATCCCACTGGAGTCTTTAATATTCATGCTATTAACCTGAAAGATTCAAACAGCCATTATGTGAAGAGAAGCTATATAGTGCAGCCCAATAGACTGGGATTACAAATAAAACCCCATTGAGAGACTACAGTGGATTCTGAATAACTTCAGAAGAAGGAATTTCTCTCTTTTTCTCTCTCTCCCCCTTTCCTGACCTCCTTCTCATGTCATATATTTTGGGGAAAGAGAAAAATCCCCAAAATAGCAAACATAAAAAATTATTCAATTATATAGAGCCTCTGACTAGGAGTCTAGTTTTTACTGGAAGGGTAGCTTCCTCCTCTAATGCTTTGATAAACTACCTCAAGCATAAAATAGGGAGGTCTAGGCTAATGATCTTTAAGACTGATTGAGAAGATGCACTGTGGAGTCAGGTAAGACCTATGTGAACACTAGCCCTACCACTCACTTATTAGTATGTTACCTTGAACAAGTCACTAAACTCTTCTAAGCCTCCCTTTCCCCATTTGTAAAGTGAACAAAAGGTGCAGCTAATAAAATTCATTTTGCATAGTACCTGGCACTGTACACCTTAGATACATTTTAGCTGCCATTATTACTGATTATTGCTCAAACTCATAGGTCAGTTGCTTTTGTTTCTATTTCACCCCTTTCCACTCCTTGAGTCTTTATCTTTGTCAGAAAAATTTACAACTGTGTTCTGATGTCTGTGAGTTTCTGTAAAGGTAGGCTATGGGTGTTAGCCTTGTTTTCCCTTGAGCTGAGATTTTATGCTCCCTTAAGGCAATGGAGATGTCTTAATTTTTCACGTTTTCCTTACTAACTGGCATAATGTTAAATACATACTAGGTGCTCAATAAAGACTTTGAGATCTTAGAATATTAATAGTACAGAGATCTTCCACTAAAACCCTCTGATTTTTCAGTTGTTGGCACTGAGAAAAAGAGTCTTGGGCCACACATCTATGACTGACAGCCATTTCTCCAGTCAACTGCTACTGTGTCTCCTACGAGCCTCTATCCTCATGCCCCTGCCTTGAAAGGGAAACATGATTGACTTAAACCCTGACTCCTTGAGGGAAGTCCCATTTACATTTTTTATTTTTATTTTTATTTTTGGAGAGCATAGCATGTTTCAGACACCATGCAGGATTCTGGGATTCAGAGACCATGCAGTATTCACCATTAAATCATGATACCCAAGTTCAAGATATGTATAATCTACTAGGGAAGACAGATCCCTAAATAGACGTTTCAATACAGTGCCTGCGTTGTTAGAAGAGAGCTAAGCCCTGGTACTGTATGAGCTTCTGGATAGGAAATCGAACTCATGACCGGAAGACTTCAGGAAGAGCTATTTAGGAGAAGTGGCAAGTGCCTGACACACATATAAAGCTAAGTAAGGACAAAATTCAAAAACAAACTCATCAGCTGATACTTTTATTTATCTGAATGTAAGAACATTGATTATTCATCAATGAGGGATTGCTCAAATTTAGAAAGAAATAAGGAAAAATAAAACGCTAGTCCTCAAATTCCTATAGCTTGCCACATGTGCCTGCAGTCATTTCCTGCAAATGGAAACTTCTAACAAAGACTCAGGGCTGGAGACCTGGGGTTCCTGTTTCTTTCAAGGTCTTGTTGTAGGGAACTAAGTAGGTCAGTAACCTGCCTTTGGCTTACAGGGTGCAAACAGAATCATTGCTAACCCCCTTTATGTCTCACAATGGGTAATGAAATTCATACTATGGCACCAAAGCACTTTGAACTCTTTAGAAAAAGTAATCATACCAACTTAGAGCATCAAAACCACTGTGTATTTTGAAGAACTCATGATCTGCACTGTGCTTGGCCACTGGTGGAAGCTTAAAGACACCAGTAATTGGCAGAGCTTTATCTTAGACTTCCATTTGACCCACACAACCTCATACATGATTTTACACAGCTTCATAGAATGGGGGAGAAAAGCACTTCTTTTAAATCGAATGTTAGCTTAAATGCTAAGGCTTTCAAAGTGAGGCTTTAAAGTCACTTTTTAGAATTTGTATTTTTTTTTTTTTTAACTAAAATAGGCATGCCAATATTATTCTAACTCAAAGAAGTAGACAAGGTCATTCAACTCCTAAAAGCTTATTTTCCAAAAGCACAGTTAGGTCTCAGCTTCCAGGATGCTTCTGGCTTTATCAAAAAGACACTGCTTTGCTTTGTCAAAATGCGAGGGTAATCTGTGTATGACTCAAGAGGCCAATTTCCTACAGGAACCTTCTCTTAGATGGGAAAATATTTTTAAATTAAACAATTTTGGTAAAATATATTTAAACATAAATCACGAATTGGAACTCTTCCAAATATTTATTTACTAATATGGAAGACATGAAAACTATTAAAATCTCATTTAAAGGAAGTTACTTTGCTGTGTATTTGCTTTTTGGGGGGTGTGACTGCTGACCTACCCTTGAGGGAAACTTGCTTTGGCTCAGGTTAGCAGACAAGCCCGTTTCTCGAAGGCAATTCCAACCCCACGCCTCTCAAAACTTAAATCTTAAATTGAATTATTGGGTGCAGGTGGTTCTCCCACAGAACCTCCCAGCTTCCGGAACGGGGGGCGGGGCAGGGAGACCCTGCTTTTTATTTCAGAGCTGACGTGTGCAATCCTAGTGCACTAGCTAAAAAGAAAAAAAAAAAAAAAAAAAAAAAAAGCTGAATTCTCCGAGCTCTCCTGGCAAATTTCTCTCCGACGCGAAACCCAAGGAGAAGGCCTGTTCAATGGCTACAGGGCGCTCTCTGAAGCCGGCTCCTCGCGCGGATTCCGGCCCAGGCCGCCGCTCAGGTCCTAGCCCCGCTGCACAGCGAGCTGGAGAGGATGGCACCGCCTGCTTCCAGGGAGGCGGGAGGAGCGCGAACTCCTAAGGTGGGTCACCTGCCAGGAAGGGAACACGCGAGGTGCAGACGCACGTGGGAGGAGCGCAGGTCCCGCGTACAAGTGCCCAGCTGGAGATTTAGGGAAGAGGTAGTCTCGGGCTCAGAACAAGCAGGCATGAGGGAGGAGACGGGACGTCCCAGGTTGGCAGTGACCAGTGACAGCGGAGTCACCCAACCCAGCCGCCTCACCCTCCCGGGGCGCTGGTCCCTCCCCTTGGACTGAAACCCAAGGGGCCGTCGCACCGGGTGGGCGGGACCGACTACTCCCTGACAGGCCCCTGGAGCTGCGTGCCAGGCCCTGCTGCGCGGAGCCGCTGAGCGCAGAGAGGAGCACCTGGTACCCATCGGGCCGGACTCGGGGCCGCACCCGAGCGCGCCGGGCAGCAGTGGGCGCTCGCGATCCTCCTCTGCCCTACGCGCTCTCCCTCCGGGCCCGGCCTCCTCGGTCCCCTCCTTCTCCTCCTGCTCCTCCTCCCGCTCCTCCCTCCTCGGGATTGAGCACCAAAACGCCCGCCTGCAAGGTCCTCGGCGCGCTGGCAGCCAGGAGCCGCTGCCACCACCGCTGGGTCTCAGTGGGTGCCTGCGCCCTCTCGCCGCCCGCCCGCCCCGGGCTGTTCCGAAACTTGCTCCACCCGCCGCGGGTGCTCGGCAGTGCTGCCCATGGCCCAACCCAGGAGCCTATTTAGGGCGCCCGACGGACGGGACGGCGGCGCCGCTCAGGTGAGTGCAGCGCGCGCGGGGTGGGGGCCGCCAGGCTGGAGAGTGGCAGGACGCAGGTGTGGGGGGCTCCGAGGCGCTTTCGGCTGGCCTTCTGGACTTCTGGCAAGTGCAGAACCCAAGAAGAATCAAGGCTGGAGCAGGTGCAGTGGATGCAGAGGGAACCAGGAAGAAGAGACTGGGAATTTTCCCATCCTCCTCACCTCCTGCCCTAGCACCTCTGCTCTGGACGAGTTGATCTGTAAGGACTGGGACCCAGATTTCTGACTCTTACTGGGTTGAATGTTTTTCCCTCCAGCAGAGTCGGGAGGTTCCCTCTTGCCGGCCGCTCAGCGACCGCAGCTTCACCTTAGGACCCTGTGGGGCAGCGAGAGCGCAGCGCTTTACGGAGCCTGGGTATCACCTGGGGCCAGAAACTGGGGCGGGGACACAGTCCGCAAAAGTAACTCGGCCGAGGGAACGTTTGGGGTGGAGAAGCCTTGGTCGGATTTGCCTTTGCATTTGGTTGGAGACAGGCATCTCCCAAGGAGAGCGATTGAGGCGACAGCCCTGACAATAAGTAAGCCTCTCTTCCCCAATGCCAATTACATGGGGCTCTTGATTTTTTCTTGTTACTTTTTACTGATTTTTTTTTTTTTTTATCCTTGTCGGTTTCTGTTTCCGGGCCCTTGGGTAGTGGCAGCGGATGGAGGTGAGGGATGGTGGGACGCGAACCCGCGCGGTTGGAGCCCCTTGCCCCCAGCTCCTAAGAAGGGTCTTATTCACGAGCCTGACCTCGCCAGGTGCGCTCTTCCAGCCAAGCAGCGGACCTCGCGCTGCTCCTCCTTCTGGCCTCAGCCTGTCCCGGGAAGCGGAGAACAGACCCAGAACGGAGGGGGATGACTGGATGAAGAAGCCGGCACGGGATGGGGTGGGGTGTGCTGGGCGCTACAGTTATTTGCTAGATCTCTAGGTCCTCCTTCTCATCTCCTCCCCTGGGAGCCAGCGATTCTTCACACACTCTGGGAGCTCTCTTCCGACAAGGGTTGCATCCCTCCCTCCTCCTCCCGCTTTGCAGAGCCAGTGGTAACCGTGCCTCGCCTAGCAAGAGTCTCGCTCCTTCCTTTCCCACAAGGTTATCCAGAGCTATTTTTTATCTACAACTTGTGCCAAGATGCTTTGGGGAGGATTCTAGGGAGGCCACTCCAAATCCACTGTTTTGCGCTGCGCTCCCAGAAGCAGTCTCCTGCTGGCATGGAGCAGCCTCAAGGAATGGCGGGGAAAGTGGCCTAGAAGCCAAAGAGCCAGTCTTCCCTCTTCTCCTTTCTCAGCCCTAGCCCCGGTAGGAAACCCCGCCACCCCTGGCTCCGCTGAGCCTCCCGCCACTAGCCCAGGAAGAGGGTCCCCAGATGAGTCCCCATGCTCTCGCTCTCAGGCTCTGGGTGCTCTGGGACTGCTGTGGCAGCAGTCTGACACCGGCAGGTTCCTTCACTCCCACCTATAAGTTATTGTTTTGGAGGCAAATCTCATTTTATTTTGTTGAAATCCTTCCACTCAAGGGTTAATTTCAGGAATTCCATCTTAAAAAAAAAAAAAAAAAAAAAAAAGGAGGGAGAAATAACCTAACTTCTTCCTCCCTGCATTTCTAAAGCAACGCGCATCCTTTGGCGTTTGGATTATTTTCTTGCTTTCTGCATTTCTGGTAATATTGGGTAACACTGGGTGCAATTAGAATAAGCGTTACCTACTGAAATTCCAGAAGCCGGGCGCTTGGCTGCAAATCCTTGCCTTACCCTTCCCTTTGTATATCCAGCGTTTAGATTTTCCCCCACAGAATTGCAGAAATAACATTGAAATGGACCACTGTGTTACATAAGGTTTCCTCCAGAACTAAGCAGAGAAAGAATAATTTCTAAAAGAGTCTTTCCAGGTTTGGGTTAGCCCATCTAACACTTTCAGCCGAGTTTGACAGGGATGGACAAATTCATGACTAAGCAGTCTTAAGTGAAAGCAGTTAATGACAACAGCAGCATAGATGAAGATTCCTTAGTAAGGCTTAGTCAGCTGTGCTTCTAGATGCTCTGTGAAGCCGCAGGGTATACAGTGCTCGGTAGTTATAAGATGGGAGATTCTTGTTCTGAGAAGCTGGTGAGGAAGTGGTACCTTGAGACTGCATCTGAGGAAGGGCTCTTTACTCTCCTGTCAATATGCCTAGGATGAAGCCTCAGGCTCTCCCAGGGTCCCTCCAAAAGTTGGAGCATGTACTTTTCTCATTAAAATAAGAAATTATTTTACTAGAAAAGTCCTCAGGGCCTTCTGAAGGGAAAAGCTACATGGAAGTTTTTCATGTCTTGAATTGAAACTTGACGTTGACTAGGAAGGAGCTTAGAAAGATGTACTGGGTGGTATAAATTGCTTGATCCATGCACACTGCCTTTCCTAGACCATGGCATCTACCCACGATGGCATATCCCCACCATGGTTGCTAAATCATGTCTGTCTATGGGGGGCTACGGTTTGGAGGAAGGCACAGTAAGACGTATTGGAGGTCCTGATGAAACTGAGCCTGTACCCTAGGTAGGTGCTCAGGCACCAGGTTTCCAGGCCTGAATCTAAGCCTGAGAGGCTGTATTAGAGACAGTTGTTGCAGGAAAGTAGTAACTTCTTAACCACTTCCAGGGAAATGCAGTAACTTTCCGGCTGGTGTTGGAAAAGATCAGGGCTAATCCCTATTATTATTGTTATTTTTTTTTGCCCAACCTCGCTACATGACCTAGTGCTTTCATTGAGGCTGCTCTTTTCTTAAGGCAGAAGGCAAGAGAATGCAAGATGGATTTAAAGCCAACTTCTTGCCCCATGACCTTGGGCAAACAATTTCTTCTTCCCTGAGCCGATGTTTCTTCCTCTGCAAAATAGTGATGAAAGGTTTATCATGAGAAAGAAACCGTATACAAAAAGCATCTTGCTGATTATAAAACACTTGTGCAATTACAAAGGGTAAAAAAAATTTAAAAAATAATTTTTTATTGTAGATTGATTTTAATGTTCATTTTTATTGTAGTTTGCATATGTCTGAGTAAATTACATATGCTAAACATTAAGTGGGGGAGATTTCATCTAATTGGCCAGTGTCTTCTTACGATCACTTCACCTGAGTGCTATACTGCTTTTCAGAATAACTTGTTTCTTGTTTTCAGGATCACAGCCAATTTTTAGAGTTTTTTTTTCCATTTGACAGATTACACTGTATATGTCTTAAGAAAATCTGGTTGAAAAGAGAGCCCCATTGTTGATTGATCAAAAAAAAAAAAAAAAAAAAAGGAGAAAAGTCACAAAGGGGGAGTGACTGCATTGGGGAAAAGTAAAATATGACCAGTGTCATGAGATGACCTGGGTCTCCCTTGTCTAAACCTTTCATCAGCATAATGCACTGGCTCCCAACTGCATTTTAGGTGTTGTCCCAAACAGGTCTCCAGAACCTAACTCAGTGCCTGCCTGGCACATAGACATTCAATAAATATGTTTGGAATAATTGAATGAATGATTGGACTGAATCTTCACAGCAACCCTGGAGAGCAGATGGCATCATTTCTAATTTAAGGATTTGGAATCTGCAGATCGAAAAAGTAATTAATTTTCTAAAGGTACAAAGGATTCCAGACTAGAATTCAGCACTGCGTGTTCTTATTCCACTCTGCATTCGTGCTTGTAGTGCCCTCTCTCTTCAGAATCACTTAAAAGCCTTCTGAGCAGTTGGAACCAAATATCCTATTTAGGGAGCGCAACCTTCCCTTCATAGAGGGATTCTTTTTTTTTTTTTTTTTTTAATGGGAGATGGGCCTCTTTCTCCTTGTCCCTATCTCCCAGTCCTGAAGTAGGGCTTAGTTGAATGATCCCACCTGGGGCCTGGAATCTTGAAAGACTAGATAAAGGACACAGGGACATTGGAGGGTTTATTTACCACTTTGGGTCATGGATCAAGAGGCATCCACAGTAGCATGCATGTCCCAAGGCATGGTCCCAGAGGTGCCTCTTCTACAACACCATCTTGACCTGCCCCTAGTCCCTGGGTTTCTTTCATTCCTTCTCATTTTCCAATCCTGACTTTTCAGCTTCTCAGCAATTCCTAGAGGCAACCCCATAGTCTTCAAGCAAATTCCCTTTCTCTCTGGCTTAGCCAGAATAGCAACCAGCTGATATACACCCTCTACCCATTCATCTTCAGGGCTGTCTCCAGCCTGAAGCATCCTTAGCTTCCTCTACCCGTGGGGGATGAAGTCTATAGCTTTTTCAGATCGTTGGAATAATATCTACTGGGCTGTAGTTTGTCAATAGTTATGTGCTACTACAAGAGGTCTAGAAAAATGAATACATTATTCTTCCAAGCAATAGCCTGAACATAACAGAAATAGATCCCAGTGGGCATCTTTCTTTTTCTCTAATACATGCTTTTTGGTAGTTTTCCAGCAGGGGTCGCAAACTCTAATGACTTCGGCAGCCAGGCAAGTAACAGCTTGAGTGGAACAGGCTTTGGGGCTACAGGTGGGACTTCAGGTCCGGTTTTGCCAGATCTGGTTATGTTTTTTTGTTTGTTTTGTTTTGTTTTGTTTTGTTTTTTTTCCCAAGGTAGACGGTCAGTTTACAGTTTTGTGTGGAATGTACCCACTTTCAACTGCCAGTAGCTAATTCCATATTCCTAAATTGCACCATGTGGGCCAAACCAAAGACTTCCGTGTGTAAGCCTTATATCTGTCACACAGGCCTCCAATGCATGGCCTCTGATGACCCGGGACATAAGGGAAATTTGATTGGAATATGAAATTAAGGAGAGTACTTTACTGAGAATGTCAAGGCGAGAGGGCAGGGGGCAAGGAGTGCAGACAGTGCTCTAGTTAGTTACCGTTTACGTTTACAGAGTGAATCTCTGTTCAGGATGCTGCTTCTTCCTATCTCCGTGAACGGTTACAGCAATCACATTTACTCCTTTAACACATGTTTATTGAGTTCTGGCCATGTACTGCATA